TCTCCCCTTGTCCTGCAGCAGTGTTGTAGGGGAGATGGAGATGGGGTCTGCTTGGAGGTGCACAACAAAAGGGAAGGCAGCAGAGAAAAGCTGCAACAAAGAAATTTCTCCTCTGCTATCAGGAAAATATTCTCCATCTTAAGTGTGGTGCAGCACTGGAACAGGCAGTGGATTCTTCATCCTTGCCAGCTTTTCCAAAACTCAGCTGAACAAGGCTCTGAGCAGCTCTGGAGTTACCTCTGGTTGCTAACTTTCAGTGTCATTTCAGCTGTGGTCTTAACTGGGAACATAGATGGCTTCAGCTACACTTATATTTAAACAGGGGAGTTCTCACATGACTTATTTTGGCAGACAGATTTATATATGTTTATTTATTACATCTTTTTGCTAATGTCTAAGTTGCGACAAGCTGTAATTGTAAGGAATTTGCAATCTTAGTAAAATGCCTAAAATGGCATTCTGAGAGAGAATTTATTCATTAAATCAGGCTTTACTCTGCTGATAACTTTCACCAATCCAGGTATACATCAGTACAGCAGCAAAAAGTACACACAGCTTGCATTTGAATTGATACAATTTATATTATTGAGGACATTTTTATTTTAAAAAATAATTCACATTAACCACAAAAGTAGACAACCACATTAATTCATGACATTTCACACTTTTTTTTTTTTTAGTGGACTAAAATCCAGCTATTTTGTGGGAGTTTGTTCCAGCTTGCTAAACTACAAGGGCAAAAGGATGGCAGGGAACAAGGAGAAATGAAGGAATATGCTGAAGATCAAAGAGCAAAGTGAAAAGGAGATGCAGAAATGGAATTCAGATTTACTGTGCTGGCCACTCTGCTCGGTGCTCAGAGCTCTGACAGCAGCAGAGCAAGAACAGCCACCCTGTGGGAAGCTCCTGAAGGACATCTAACTCCTGCTCCAGGTCAGAGGAGTTTAGGAAAACCAGCCACAAACTCCAGATCACACTTCTAGAATGGGACTCTGGCAGCTTTCTCTGTGGCTGGTCCAGCTTCACGAGAAACAGGCTTAGCTGGGGGTGTATTTATAGAATCCTAGAATCCTTTAGCTTGGAAGAGACCTCCAAGATCATCAAGTCCAACCCTCAAGCCAACACTGCTAAGTCCTCTCCCAAAACAGATCAGAATCTGTCAGGGCTGGAAGGGACCACAAGGATCCCCCAGTTCCAACCCCTCTGCCTTGAGCAGGGACACCTCCCACTAGATCAGGCTGCCCAGAGCCTCATCCAGCCTGGCCTTAAAGACCCCCAGGGATGGGGCCTCAACCCCCTCCCTGGGCAACCCATCCCAGGGTCTCACCACTCTCCTGGGGAAGAACTTCTTCCTCACATCCAGCCTGAATCTGCCCACTGCCAGCTTTGCCCCATTCCCCCCAGTCCTGGCACTGCCCCAGAGCCTAAAAAGTCCCTCCCCAGCTTTCCTGTAGCCCCCCTAGGATACTGGAAGGCCACAATAAGGTCCCCTGGGAGCCTTTAAAATGCTTTCCCTCGCTTAGGAGATGAGGCAATGTCTGGAGAGCAGCAGTGCAGCACCAGGACAGTTCGGGGTGGCGTGGCAGGACAGGGAAGTCTGTGCATGGGATAACTGCCAGGGAGGGGGGGCAGCCTGGCTGGCACCCCAGCACTGCCAGGGCAGGGAGAACAACCTGAGCTGCAGGCAGCTGAAGGCTCGTGGAGCACTCTGCTCACACAGCACTGCCTGCTGACAGAGGCACTGCCCAGAGAACAGCTCAGGAGCCAGGGCAAGGCCTGTGCAGGGGGGACCAGCCTGCAGCCTGGGGCTGTGCTCGTCCTGAGCTGGGAACACCACGGGTTACCCCCAAAGCAGCAGTGGCTCCGGGTGGCACCGCTGGGCACCCTCTGTGCTGTGTGCTGCAGCCCTGGGGCACTACAGGGCACTGGCAGAGGCAGCTGAACGGGCAGCTTGGGGCACAGCCACTTTTGTTCTAGAAATATCATCTAACCAGAGACTTGACTGCTTGCAGATGAACACAGAGTTCTCCATGCTCTGAGGGCTCCATCTTTCCAACCACAGCATGATGTACAGTCAGTGCCTGACGAATCTGTGCAAAACTCAGAAATTCACTGAAATTTCCCTAATCCCTTTGACCTAGACGTGTAATTTTTAATGTAGCCTTTCAGTCATTCCCATCACGGAGTTAAATGCCCCTAGTGAACAAATTCTTCATTTCTTATGAGATGATTTATCACAGCTCTTCGCTCCCTCCAGCCAACTTACCATCTCCCTGGGTGATTCCTCACGAGTGAGTCATGGCACACGCAGGGTGAGAAGATGTGTGCTCAGCACAGACCTCACGGGCTGGGGGAGGTCATCCCTCTGCTCAGCAGCTATCGCCTGGCAGGAAGATCTAGCACAGCTATCCATGGATAAAATTTTAAAAAAAAAGGATAATTTTCTCTATTTCTAGAAAAATACAATGCTCTCCTAGGAATACCTGTGATTCATGAGTGAAGGGAGGGTGGCAGCAGAGGACTGGGCTAGCAGGGAGTAAAGAGGTCCAAATGACAGATTTGGGCTGGAGTCAAGTCTGCCCACAAATCTGGAGGAAATACAGTAAGAGACAAATAAACCCAAACACAGGAGAGTTGCCAAGAGTAACAGGAAATAAATTTTCTTTTAATATTTTTGTGTGCATTATATGGACTCTAGCATTAAAACAGTGTTCTCCTGGGGAGGAGCTGAAAGCAAGCAACAGAAAGGCTTCCAGCCACTCCCCAAACTGCATCAATGTTAAAATTTCTATATGTTGTACAGTAGCTATGTTATACAGTTATATATCTCTACCAGCTTACATTCGATTCTAAATACAGAGTGGAGATTTGACCTAGTCCCATCTCAAAGAACTCCCTCTAATATCTCATCTCCTTCCCACCTTCTTCCACACAAGCAAATTCCACAGGCACCCCAGCAGAGGAGTCAGTGGCTGCCAGTGGTTTGAATGTCTGAGGTGAAGCTCTCAGTGCCCCCCTTCCCACGCTCTCAGTATAGAGAAGTTCCTCCTCCATCCCTCGTCTCGTGTGCCTGGAGTGCTCCAGAGGAGCATCATCTTCTGTGTAGGTTACAATGCACCTACACATAGGATGAAATTCCACAATTCCATAACTTGGGATTCCAATAACTTGGGATTCCTTCTGCTGTATACTGGATTAATATAGATTTAGCCCATCTATGGCAAATTTTGACCAAACCAACCTGCTCGGAACAAACCTGTGTCTGCACAGGGTGTCCTCCCCCACACACAGGCTGTAGCCAGCTCCTTGCTGCACACAGCAGAAACCTGAGCCTCGGGGAGAGCCTCTCACCTTCATTATTTTGCTCCCTTTTTTTTTATGTCTGCCTCTGTGCAGGCAGCTGTCCCTGTGCTGTGTGACCCTGGCTCTGTGCAGCAGAGCCGGGCTCCTGCAGGGCTGGGTGGTGTCCAGCTCAGCAGCAGGCACTCTGTGTGTCAGGGTGAGTGCCTGCTCTAGCAACAGGCCCTTAGCTGGGACACTCAGAGATCCCAGAGACAGGTCCTGCTGATGTGCTGCTGCAGTGAGATACGCTGCTCAGCCCTGGTGCCCCACAGAACCATGCCACTAGGAGTCACACAGAGGGATTAATGTGCTTCAGACAGCTCTTCCCCACTTGCTGCACCCAGTTGCACAGTGAAAACTGCCCCTGTCCCTGGGAATGTTCTCCCTGTCTCTGGGAATGTTCTCCCTGTCCCTGGGAACACAGCTCTCGAGCAGAGCACAGGCACCCAGTGCTGCCAGGGAGTGATCTTCCCCAGGCTGGCCTGTGTCTCTGAGTGCTCATACCTGCAGATGTGTTTCCCTCCCCACCCACACCTAGCTCTGCACAGGTCAGACAGCCAGAGAACCTGCAGGAAAACCCAGGGGGCCCAGATGAAGATTCCTCTCCCACATCCCATTCCAGTTTGTGACTCCTTTCTGCTCTGTGCAGGAGCTCCCAGGTCAGGAGGTAGGAACTCGAGTGGAGCTATTGACAGCAGGCTCAGCAGCTGCAGTGTGGAGGTAGCCAGGCCAAGACAAGTCACCAGGGCAGCTAATTCACTGCAAGTGCCCAGTACTGTGAAGACACACGTCCACCACAGGCTCTCTTGGGTTTAGGAGCAGAGGCAGCCATACCTGGGACTTGTCTGGGATGGGCATCCAGAGATTGCTTCAATGGGGAGGGAGGGCCAGGATGGGGGAGAGGAGGGAATGGAGACGAGGAGGCAGCACTCTGTTCCAACAGACTCTGCTGGAGAAGAATATGCTATACTGAACTCAGAGCTGGAAGGAGGCAATGGGCTTCACACACAGAATTCCCAGAGGTAGTTATAAATACTCTGCTGCTGTACAGACACAGTGAGGTCTCCTTTTGTTGAGGACAGCTCATCTGGGAGTTCTGTCACTCCTCTGAGGCCAGCAGACACAGGAGGAGGCTGTGCTATCCCACAGCAAGCAACGCCTTAGGAGGACCCGAGAGGCTCAGCCTGACAAACTATATCCAAACTCAAACTGATGTCAAGCAAGAAGCCTAGGCCAGGGCTCCAGGGCAGAGAGCTTTGCACTCCTCCACGAGGTACAGCTCAGGGCAACGGTACCACTGGAGAGGACAGTGACCTGTCCCCATGTCTGTCTCTGTGCAGGGCAAAGCAAGAGAAGAGGCAGCACATTTATAAAGACCTCTGGGAAAAGAGCAGTCCATGGACTGCCAGAGTGGGAGAGAAAGGAGAGGAGCATCCCACACCCTCAGCAACAGCTTTAGAAGATGACAACAGCCCCCACGTCAGGCTAGCAGAGAGGAGCCTCCTTCACTGCATCCCCTGAAGGAGAGGCCGTGGGGAGGGCAGAGAAGCAAGGGGACGGTGGGGAGCTCAGAACTGAGAAGGACTTGTCTTGGGTTGTAGGCAGTGGATACTGCTTTCTCTTCTCCCCCTTCCTCTTCCTCTGCTGCCGTTGGTGGCTCAGGGAGCAGCAGGCCCCCGGCGCTGCTGCTCCAGGAGCTGCCTGCAGGGCAGGGCAGGGGGCTGCCCCGAGCGCCGCAGCCGTCGAGGAGGAAGCCCAGCCAGCTGGCGACAGATCTCATCTGAGGACACAGCACACACAGGGTGACAGGCAGCCAAAGCTCCCCTCAGACCCTCCACCACCAGCACAGCCACAGGTACATCCTCCACTGCATCTACAGGAACTGTTGGGACTGCTGAATCCTCATATACAGGAGGCCAGTGAACAAGTCCTTGGGCTTTTATTTATTTCCTCCTAGATTTATTCATGCACAATACGTATTTAAACCACTCATATTTTGCTGCACCAAAGACTGCATGGGAAATCTAGACTGCTTCTACTCCTGAGCAGAAGTACTGACTCACTCTTTGTCCTCAGAGGAACACAACTTTCAGTAAGGGTGTGTCTGGGATTAGCAAAGCATGATCAGCACTGATGAAGGCAGAGCTCTCCTATGCCCGGGCAGTATAAAATCTGCCTGCCAATACTTTCCATGGCACGCACACTGTCTCCATTGTGTTAGAGCTCCTCCAAACCAGGTCCAGGAAGCCACTGCCTCTGGATTTGGGCTGGGTGATGAGCCTGGGGGTCCTGTGAGATAGCTGCAGCTACTCCTCTAGGCTAGCCTGTTAGCACCCACCTTGCATGACCTCGTTCTCCTTGCAGACGATGCGGGAGCACACCTCCTTGTTAATGATGTACATGCGGCGCACGCTGAGGCACCACCAGGCACACCCCAGGGACAGCAGCAGAGCCACAGGGCCCCACAGAAACAGAAACAAAGGGATACAGGCAATAAATACATATATTCACTGATGAGGAAGCAAATCCTAAATCTTCAGGATTACTTGGCTTAGGATAAGGCTGTTGTCAATGGGAAGGTAATTTTCTTGGACTCCATGGAATGGCCCAATGCCTTAAAGCCAGGCTACAACACAGGGCACATGACAGCTCCTTAGGGCTGCAGAGATGATAGTTAGTGTGCTGTTTTAATTAATCACCCTAAAAGGCCACTCTGAGGATAGGACTCATGTCACCACCCGTTTCCCTGAGGGAACCTCTAGTCTGAATGCAAAGGCACCAACGGCTGAACTGGACACGCCACTTCTGGAGTTTTTAGAGCTTTTCTGAGGGATGCTTGTCTCTTACCTGGTGACACAGAGGTAGCTGATGCACTGCTTCACTGGCTTGTGCACGGAGTACAGGCGTGTGCAGGGGAACTTCTCCTCACGGCAGTCTGGGGACACACACACACACACACTCTCAGGGATGCCACCTGGCACTGCAGGGGAGCTCATTCTGCCACCCCTACAGCTTCAGCACCATTGCTGGCCTCCAGGCTTCAAGGGGAGGCCCCATGCCTCTCGTGTGAGGGGTGGGGATGGTTTAGAGAAGAGGAAAATCAGGCAGACATTTCTGCTGTCCCCTTGCCTCATAAAGCAAAATCAAGGGAAAGTTGAGTGAAATGCAAAACAAGCCCACTGGGAATCCCCAGTAAAGAAGGCACATGCTGTAAAGGGGACAGGCACAAATGAACAACATGCAAACTGTAGTTGGATGTTTAAGACACATGGTTCTAACAGATATAGAATCATAGAATCCTTTAGGTTGGAAGGGACCTCCAAGATCATCAAGTCCAACCACCAAGCCACCAGGGCTCCAAAGTCCTCTGCCAAAACAGATCAGAATCTGTCAGGGCTGGAAGGGACCACAAGGATCCCCCAGTTCCAACCCCTCTGCCATGAGCAGGGACACCTCCCACTAGACCAGGCTGGGAGGTGTCCCTGCTTCAGCCTCAGACTTCAGGACACAAATCTCATTCCTTTGTTTCTGGACAGGCAACCCCCTGGGTGACTATGATGAGTTCTCTTGCAGCTCCTTCTGACAAGGACAGAATATTGACCCAGAGCAGCTGGTCGGGTGCTCTGCCAGCACCTGCCTGGAGAGGTAACAGGGGTGAAAGTGGGCCTGGGAGGGGGCACAGGCAGCAAACTCAAACGTACCTGATGAAACCGTTGTAGTTTCACTGTCAGACTGAACTGGAAGACAGAGGGTAGAAAAGTTAGTGTGATTTACCATGATTCCTTCCTAGACCTCAGCTTACTCAAAACAAATAGCTGGGAAGTTCTTTCAAGAGCCCTCCATTGTGACTTCTAATGTGGGAAAAGATTTTGTTGTTATGGATATGAAACCATAAGAGAAAGTACAAACCCAGTATGAACCCAGTGCCAGCTACCCAGCCAACAATGCCAAAAATCTGCCCAAGCTTTACCATGAAGCATTACCACCACTGCTCAGAGTCACACTGTGAGGGCATCTTGACTTAACATTCAAGAGGTGGGGTAGATGTATTTAGCTGCTGTCCATCCAGGCAACAAGTGAAGGGGCCTGTGGCTGCCTCTTCCCAAGGAGCAGTAACAGCTTTAAGAAACAGCATCCCCAGACCTCTGGGTTCCTCTCAGTGTTCGTGACAAGGGGTGGAAAGGAGCTTGGCTCTTGTTCTCTCTGATAAAGCAACATACCTGTACCACAGTAAACCAGTCTGTTTTGTCATTTACCCAGTGACAAACTGGAAAGGACCCTGGAGGACTGACTGCCAGGCACGAGCTTTCATCAGTGGTTAGAGAAGACTTGTGCTGCTGTGTGTGTGCCAGGGTCAGACAGGAGCAAAGCACATGGAGGTACAGAGGCTCTGGTGCATCAGTGCTGCAGCTGGGGGCAGCCAGGGCAGGCAGCACTCTGGGTGTGCAAGGGACTGGGCAAAGAGGGACAGGGCTGGTCCACGTTTGGCTGTGACCTGAGAATAAACTCACCAGGACTCAGCAGCACAGGCGGTGTGACAGCTGCAGCTGAAAAAAGAGAAAGTCTGCTGAAGGATCCAAATTTGAGCTTTCAGCCTCCTTCCCCCCTCCTACAGTTCTGCCAGTGGCTCACCACTCCTCACCAGGGGCCATCCTGCACCTGGCTCATGGACAACTCTGATCCTGTTGTTATCTGACTTGTGAGGGCAACTGCAGGCTTTCCCTGGGACTATGCTGGATGTCCTAGAGCTGATGGGATGCTGTGGGGCAGAGATGTCCTTTGTGAAGAGCTTCTTCTCAGTTCCTCAACAGTAAGTGTTTTGAAGCCAGGGTCTGCTGTAAAGGCTTCACATTTAGTCCTTTCAGGTGTAGATGCAGGTTGGCCACCACCAGCTCAGTCTGGGCACCAAGTCTTATTTACCTTCCTACAGCCAGGTCTCACACACTGAAGATGAGACTGATCCAAGCTGCCTTCACCTCTCATCCCCACCATTAAGAGCACACACCTTGCACATACAACACTGTGCCTCCACTCCTCTCCTCCCACGACAGCTGACCAGAGTGACCACAGTACTCTAGCCACCTAAGGAGCAGAGTCACAGGGCAGAGGAGGGACCACAGAGCTGCTGTCCTGGAGCACAGGGCCCTGCTCTCAGAGGAGCTCTCCTGCACACAACACACCTCCAGCACCAGCCAGTGCTGCTGCCTCTCCTCTCTTTGGAAGAGGATCCCTGACAGTGGTGCCCTCTCTCCCCCTGCCCTGTCTGATCCTCCCTGACTCAGGGGGACGAGTTTGAGACACTGTCCTCCACCTACCCGGCCTTTTGCAGAGATTTTGCTGCCCCCCCAGTGCCACAGCTGCAGGCAGGGCAGGGAAGACTACTAAAAGAACAACATTCCCTCCTCCCCATCCCATCACTGCTCAGAGGTTATTGCCATCTTTTGGTTTTTTTGCCACCCATCTCCTGGGCACTCGTGCAGGGCTGCTGGCTGCCAGCAGACCCACACAGCCTGTGGCCCAGTGCTGCCC